TCTCCTTTGTGCTGCGAATCCCATCCTACCGGATCTGTAATAAACATTATGTCACCGGAGACACTGCTCCCACGCTAGCATTTATCCGACCCTCACACCCTGCAATCCTTTCCTGTCACTTTGGGTGACGTTTGTGTACGCAGCCACATGTGTCCCCTCCCAAGCGAACACTCGTAATGAGTCAGTTCACTTTAAACTGGTCTCCGCCCTCCTACTTGTCGGAATTTTCAATTTTTGACCTGCTTACTTACCTCATCTGTCCTCCACACGCAAACACATATGCCTCACAACCATAGCGAGTGAATCACCGGCGCTGATCGCTCCACTACGTTCCTTCTGGGTTGTTGTATCACGCTTGCATGCGTGCGTCTATGTGGACTGGACATTGGTCACAGGTGCATCAGGTTAGAATCCATAGTGCGCGGCGCCCGTCCGCTTGGGTGCCTTTGTCACCCGCATCGACTGCATGTCACCTCGCTGTGTTCCCCACACACGGGTGCCGGCAGTGGCGAACCAAATGCTGAATCGATTTTATGGCAGTATACCAATTCCATCAGGTCTAGGCTTCTCATCATTGGTTTCTGATTTTTCGCTTATGATGCTTCCATACGATCAGGGTGTGTACGCCAGGGGTATGGTACGCAACTCTTCAATCGCCATTAATCTCCTCATTGTCGTCAGTGAGCATGGAGCTTTGGTAGCTCTCCTATCCCTTACTCTTCCATTGCGACAATCGACCCTGTAACTTCTACTTCTCACGCTCTCCCAATGATTCACTTTAGCGCCATCTGTCGTGCGAAATCCACAACCTGGCACAAAGTTGTGCGTTTTAGACCTCACCCACTTGATTCGCGACCACCTTAACGATTTTAGACTTCCTGAGTGAGTAGCAGGTTAGGTCCTCACCTGCTTTACATGATTCCCTAGCTTCATGCATTCGAAGAGCCAGTCACTTGATCTTCACTGTCTCATACATAACGCTTCCTACCGCGCCTGTTTGCTCAGTGAAGGGAGCTGAATTCATATGACAAATGCGAGCCACCAATGATTTCCGCTTCGTTTAAATAACCTCGACTTAAGGGCGGCATTCACGCCTGTTTACATGATGTTTGAGTGCACGACCCGGTGGTATCCTCACTGACCATTATGAAAAGCTCTGGTCTCATTACTACTTTTAGAACGAATCTTTGCAATTCATTTGGCTGAACTCCAAAGGATCTTGGGTTAGTTGCGTACTTCTAAACTCCGCCCACCTAACATACTTGTGGCACATAGTAATAGACATTGCAAATGCCTCACACACGGCTTGCGAAGTGTCCTTGGTTGTGACTCTTCCTTCACGCCACTTAGTCTATCATTCAGCGGTTTTGGAGCGGTACAGGTGTGTATACTGTCAGCCTAGTGGTCAACTCGCTGCGTACGCGCAGCATAGAAGGAACTAGTCCGCTCATAGTAATATATTGGCATACCAGACACGTGGTAGACATTAATGCATTTCCACCCATACGCTTATCTGCGATGCAGTAGACTGAGATTACCACGGCCCATACCAATCGAGGTCAAAGGCCAACGGTACATATTTTCATTGAGCATAACAGCTCATTTCGTGTTTCACCCAGTGGTGTGTAGCGTCATTGAGGATGTTTAATCTTGGGAATGCTGTTAGTCTTCCATCGCTGTAGCCGTTTGGCCGTATAAGTTGGAGAAAACTTTCGCAGACGTGCTAAATGCACATATCTGCTGTCGATCCTGGATCACCGCTCAAGCTTTCCTCTGAGCCAATGACTGTCTTTGGGCAAAGGTAGTTGTCTTGTGCATCACTTTTCTGAGGGGTACACTCGCTCCTTAGAGTCGATGTACTCACATTTCTTGATGTTTTCTTTGTATCAGTCTCTTTATACATTAGCTTCTCCCGGCGTAGCGACCGAATAAACGGCACACGTATTCGTCCCAACCGCTCCTTGCCACTTCTTTAAGATGTCTGAGTTCTTCCGCCAAAGCTTTTCAATAACTTCTAGTCATATCCGCGGGTCTATTTTTCGTATGTAAATGAAATACTACTTTCGATTTTGGGTCGCTGTATCAAGCTCCAAAAGCTCAGACCTTTCCACGCCAAATCATCAAAAGCTATACATAGTATCTTGTACTGTTGCATCACTATCACAGAATAGTGGCATTTTGCTTGAACGTCATGGAACCCTAAGCGGTGTCTCTTACTTGCTTAAATCAAACACCATGGTACTACTGACTATATGGCTCGCGTCTTTTGCTGCACCAGTTACATAACAGCTGAATGTCAGTACTGGCTGTTGGCTTGTTGCTCCAGGTGTAGTGTTTGTGTTTCTTTGCCCTCGGGGCATCCTCCCTTGCCTGTCACTGTATTTTTGAATATCTCGGGTCAAGGATGAGACTAAAGAACTGGTATAAATTATTTATCACCATCTGTTTTTGTGGACCCATTCTGATTACACAAGAATGTTTGATCGGTGTTCATTCGTTCTTCTATTGTTTGGCTCCACATCCACTAGTAGAGATGTTTTCAGTTTGTTTACAGATCTGAATGTCATTTTCTTGTCCGTCTTGCTTTTTCGGGCCACCGAAACACTTGCGGTACCTTGCAGTACCGATGTGCTGTTTTACCCAACCCGCTACGGGAGTCGGCCTGATTTGCCTCGAGTGTGCTTCGATTTCATCAATGAAAACGTAAACTGTGCTCCGTTCGTGTGTGTGTGCGTTTGCATGTGTGTGCTTGCATGCTTCACCGCACCATCATCGTACCTTGGTGCCACATTGTTACCAGCTCCCCGCTCTATTTTTACGGTTAATTAGGCAAAACAATCGCGCTTGTCCACCTCAATCAGCTGTATGTGGAGATGTGCGGGGCTTGTTCTTTTTGTACTCCTCCACGAGATTAGACGGCGCTGAAAAACCTTTGGAAGCGGAATTTGGCAATTGCGAAATATTTTTGCTGCGTCTTCGGATTTGGCTGGAAATTACTTATTTTTACTCCGCCTTCATACTGATACGCTACTCCCATCCGCACTAAGAATTGGTCATGGTTTGTACCATCTGCGCCTATTACCCCGAGCGAGAATGTTGGGAATCTATGCTTTGCGTGCGACTCCACTGTGGCACCGAAATTACATCCCCGGTTAATAGTATCAACACTAACTTTAATTATATTGTTTAATTTAGTTAAACAGCCATGATTCGGACACTGAAATGCGGCAAATCATGCTGCCAGTATAGCAATACTCGGGATATGAGATGAAACGCAAATGGAATACAAGGAATAAGAGTTTATTTAGTGAAAGCAATCGGGGTTGAACATTGACAGCTAGATTCCATAACGATGCAACGCACTACTGACTGTGCGACTGCACTATGTCCGGCAGCATCTCTGACCGCTGATGTGTCCCACCCAGAGGATGACGGCATACATCATCCCAAGCAATCCTTTCGGTCAGTTTCTTCATGCCTTTAGGCCATGGCATCAACTGGTCACCTTTCGATTTCATCTAACTAGCCGCAGCGCAACCGTATGATGTACACCGAGTGTTCAGAGAGGACATGACCTAGCCTAGCCAGCGTAGGCGATTCAAGTGTGATAGACATTTAAGTGCGCCTTGTCAAACACCAACTGGTGGACTACAAAATTGCTCACTCGGAGTTCCCAACAAATCTGTGCAATACTCCACAGGTACTGGCGATCAAAGACAATCACTCTCTTATTCTCTTCAGCACGAAGTGTCCCGATCTCTGATTCATGCAATAACACAGGCCTTTCTGAGTTCATCTGCGCTGGACCCAGCAGCGCACTGACGAAGCCACCTCGTTTGGTGATGAAACGTTTGCTTCCCAATTCCGAAGCTGGGCGAACAAGTGAACTCAGGAATGATCAACCCAAGCTACTAGTGCATCAAGTCATTTTGGACCCAGGCCTTACTGCAGCGTTATGCACCCTACCTTTCACTGACACGCTGGTATCCGACTGTGTCCATAAATGGTTGCGGCTCCGGACAGCTACACTGGGCTTGTTGATGCACCAAGTAAGTTCCTCAGTGATGTGGCCACCAGAGGTGACGCAGCTACCAAGATAAGTGAACCGAACTACCATTTCCAACTGCTATTCGCGTGTGGCTGGAAGCGATAGCGTTCCGGTCCAGATCTGCGTCAATAATTTGCACTCTGAAGATGCTAAGCACATACTGAAGCGTGCAGCGCTACGCGTCAGTTTGCTCAGTGGTGCTTACACACCCACTTCGTCAGACCCGAGGAGGGCTATGCCATCCGCATACTCAAGGTATTTTCCTCCACATCACAACCGGTGCTTACCATGCTTCGCCTGGGCGACTATCTTGCCCTATTCTGCATGCGGGTACAATAACCCAGCATCTTGAATCTTAACGCACTGCTCCGGCTGTCAATAAACCACTCCAAATTCAACCTAGCTTGTCATCGTCACTAACCGTTTGTCTCTCGAGGTACAGTTGAGAGGATTTGACATCCCCGCCCTTCCCGTCTTGTTTCCAATTCGCCGCCTGCCCTTAGAACTAGCCTCCACGGACTTCATACACGCTCATAGGCTCCCGTTAATTAAGGTGACTCACTGGTCGCTGCTGGACTTTTACTTAATATACGTAAGAAGATTCAAACATAACCACTCTATTGAAGTGTTTGCAGAGGGGCTTCTTTCTGGACAGATTTCATATATCGCCCATTAATCACTTGTACCCTTACTGAATAACATACATTAAACATTCTACCTCCAGTTTTGTACCACAGCTTCATGGTAACCACCACCTCACACCAGTAATGAGAATTCTCCGGTAAGCGGATGAATACACGTGGCACTTGCTGATCTCTAGCCTTTTCTCACTCGTCAACTGTGGCCCAAACACCATGATCCAGCTCGTCATTTAGTTCAGCACTTCACTTTTCAATTCTGAGCTGTGTTCATATTAATCTTTTCGTTCTCTGTCCTCTTTGCTCCTTTTCAGACCCATTATCTCATCCACTCCTCAACCCCGTTTCTCCTACTTTTGTAACTGGACATTCTTTGCACCTCGGGATTTTGGATTCTATGGACGCCAGATGGCTCGTGCTCTTGATTGTCATTCTCGTTCATGGTTTGTTCGATGTAGACGAGCTGTGGTCACAATGGTGGCAGTACGCGCTCACCGTTCCTTTGTGTCTAAGTCATATGATACTCACTAATGTATTCTACGCTCTTCTGGGACATTTACGAGTTTCCACTCCTACTCCTCCTCTTGATGCAAATGCAACCCTACCTTGCCCATCTGGGCTGCACCACGCTCAGCTGCTCTCCCCGGTCCCCCCATGGGATGGTCAATGGGGACTTCTTTGTCGGACGGTAAGTAATGACCTTCTTGCCCTTATTTGTTAATTTGTTACTTGCTCGTTCACCTTAGTACCCCTTTGTGTTCCACGTCTGACCACTGTAACCGCTGTGTACCAGCTTCGGACCAGCAACTGTTTATTGAACAAACGAAACTCGAATGTCTTCTGCTGAATTTCGTATGCAGAAGTTTGTCATCGTTGCAAGACGTTATGGCAACCGCCCACAGCAATTATTATGTACTGTCCGCTTTGATTGTTACGTCGTAAACATGTGAGTTGATGAAGAATTGGCTAGCTATATCGTGGTCATTTTCCGTCTCAGTCAACTAGCCGGCATGTATGTAATATGCGAACATGTCAGGTGCGTCACTTTGTTTAGGCTGGTTTGTCATGCACCACTATAACGGACAACTTCGTGACAGTCGCCATCTGCCAAGGTCGAGATTTTCAAGTTCCTATTTTACCTTCCAATAAATTTCGCACTGTAACGCACTGGGCAAAAAGAGCTAGTTACTGATAAATTATTACGCACTAATCGTGGTGAGTCCAAACAAGGAGGAAACCGGTCACGGGGTGTCAGTGTTAGGAGGAGCAACACAGAAACACCTATATTTCGGATACGCTCTTTATAATCGGAATGACTGAGCTCTACGTCAAAGAGATTGCATGTCGCAATCCAACCACACGGCGGGTATTCCAAATCCAACTTTGAATTCCCTACTGCTGTGCCAAGCGTTGCTCACGGATCTTAGTGGCATAGTGATCAAGGTTTCGGTCTTAAACCACTAAGCCTCAAGTTCCACCCTACCTCAAGCCATCTCCACCTAATGCTTCCAAATGAGGGCGAGACCATCAATCCTGGGGGTGTCAGTGTTGGGAGAAGCAACACCAAACCAGTTCATCGTGTAGGACCTTCCACAAACCGGCTTGAATATGTTTTAACTTATTGTTAGGCATCAGTAGTATGCCACGCGCATGGGCTGCATGTTTCGCAAGATCGCCCGCACCTACGCGGATTCGAACCGGTAACCACCGGATTACAACGGCAAATGTGTACCCATTTCGACCACCGACCGACCATTTGGCTACGTTTATGGCAAACGGGTTGTGCTGCACCAGTTCGCTTCGTGTACTGGTGCATAAATAGCCATTGAACAGTTCTCACGCAATTCGCTACCTGCGGGAGAGTTCGCTTGTGGGATGCTACAATTGAATAGTATGGCACGAACGAACGAAACAGATGGCAACAGATCGACTCCGAATCACTCCAGTTATCTACTCCGGAATGCACAGTTACACGGATCTTAAGGTAATACAGGAGAACGCACTTCCGGAGTATACATACTTGGTGTGACTGAACATCATGCAGATGGATTCGTGTCTTAATAAGTAAGCTCCGAGGTATCTTGTGAGCGTTAGCCGTTTCAGCAAATGACTTCCGCATCGCTCGAGCTTCTCTCCGTTTGCATACGTTCGTTTAGACTGGGCATTGCGTGCACTACAACGCCCGCACTCACGGCTCGAACAACTCGGAGCATTTACCGGGAATCAACGCGCCTCACTCCTTTAGCCAACGCCGATCGTTTCCATCGAATCAGATAAGCTGTGAAGATGCTACTTTTACCCTCTCCTACCAGCGTTCTTTTTACTGGAATATTTTTACGCATCAGTCTACTGCAACAGTGCGTAACATAAAATGGTCGTAAAACACACGCATTGTTCTAAGTCTTCACAGGCTGTGTCTGACAGGCCTCAAGCAAATCCCAGCGGGTCTGCACAGTCACACTCCCGAGCTAAAATTCCTCCCCACTGCCTTGTATGTCAGGCTGTTAAGCCAAAGGCTCTAGGCGGTGTCCTACAAGCGAACCTTCAACCCCCCCCCCCACTGCGCTGTGGGCCGTTATTGAGCCAAAGGCTCCGGATGGAGTCCCTCGAGCGAGCCTCCTTGTACCCCACTGCCTCATGAATCAGACTGTCGACTCAAAAGCTAGACTTAGGTCACCCCGAACAAAATCCCTCTCTCGGAATGGGCAGCCAGAGGGTATAATCTCCCCTCTCGACCACGTTGACAATACTCCCTTCTTCTTTTTTTCTTTCCGCTCTCTCGGCTCTTATCCGTCTATCCAGCAGTAATCTGCCGCTGACCTCGCTGTTGCTGCCATCGATTATTGTAGCTCATCCATCAATCCCCTAGTCTCATTTCACATTGGTTCTTTTAACGTCCGCATTTTGGGTCAGCTCGGTCAACAGACATCACTACTCTCACTCCTCACACTCTTGGTATGTGCTGTATCTCCGAAACACGAATACAAGGCATCAGCATTGTGACGAACCTACGATTTCCTGGTTCTGAATCTGACGAAATTGACTGCATTCATCATGTCTTTGGTGAGGCTGAGTCAGTGCCTCAAGGCATTTATGGTGTTTGTATCGCCCTCAACAGACATGCTTAAGGTAATCTACTCGACTCTATACCGGTGAACAGCTACATGTGTGCGGTTCGACTTCGAACCTCTATTGGGGTCAATAAGCACCGTTTGATGACAAAGCACCTTTTAATCTCCTCTGTTTTGATTGTCAAAGACGATTTCTATCGACATCTCCCGTCTCTTCTTCGGGTGGCAAAAGATAATGACATCGTGATTGTTGCTGGTGACTTGAATGCTCAAGTGGGTCGCGTTTCAGGTTCTGAACAACAAATGGGAAGGCGCTTCGGGGTCGATGCAAGTCGCACAGACAGTTGTGCTCGAATCCTGCCACTGTGCGTCGACCACAACCTTTACCCTAGCAACACTGCATTCCACACAAACGTTCACACCGCAATACCTGGCGCCCACCGAATCCTTCAATGAACTGGATCCAAATTGGTCGTTTCCCCATCAGCTATAGACGGCGCACATCAGTACAATACTGTTGGTAAATTTGGAGCAAGTACCTGGACTCCAATCATGCTATAGTGCGCGCGCGCCCAACAATCACTCTTCCCGCTTCCAAGAAGCGCCTATCTTCTAACCTTCTTACTTGTAACTTGCACTTGTAGTCTGCAGTTCAGCAATATCATACCGAACTGGCCCACCAATTGTCAGTGATGAGTGAAGTTGGGGAGCCGAACGCTGACTAGCATCGTCTCAAATGTGCCATAAAGAATGCTTTTGACACTTGCTGTGCACCCGACTTGAGACGTCATAATTGTGAATGGATCTCTGATGCATTGATTCGTTTGATCGAAGCACAGAAATAGGCTCCAATAGGCAGGGTTTCAGCGTGTCCGTTACTCTCTGGAACGACGTCCGACAAGGAGTCTTCCAGTTGACCGGGAACGTTGGTGGGTTGCATAGGCCCGTGAGGTGGAGAAGCCAGTGTCATTAGCAACAGCCGAGTGCTTTTCCAGCTCATCCGAAACGCGGGTCCGAGAAACCCATCAGTTAATGAGACAATAGTTGAGAATGATGGATAGTTCACACATTCTTAACTTCGTCGACTAACCCCTTGACGGAACCTTTTGAAGAGCAGTCCTATAGACCTTTGCAACACTGCCACTTACTGAATCATCTGATCCTACTTTGGATGAGATTCCACAAAAACTCGCTGTGTTAAAACGGAACAACGCTCCTGAACCTGATGACCTATCCCCGCTTTTGCTGGAAGATGTAGACAGGATTTGCTTCTATTTTTAATACGATTTAAGACACTGATGAAGTGCTTTCAGACTGCCAACTGTCGTGCCCATTTTCAAGAAGGGCCAGCGCTCTTTGTGCGAAAATCATCGGGGCATTAGCCTCATTTCTGTTGCTCCCAAACTTTTCACGGGCATTGTTCTTCCTTGACATACTGGTCCCCGAGAGAACCGAATCATTTAATGTCAGGCTGGCTTCCGCCATGGTAGTGGTTGCATCGACCACCTATTTACTCTTCGCCAAGCTTTAGAGTAGGGATACACATGCAGCTGACCGACTGGTGGTTTTCCTTGACGTGAAAACAGCTTTAGTCTCTTTTGACCGCACCAGCTTGTGGCACTGTCTATCCATGCAGGGCGTACCAGCTAAATTCCTTTCCATTCCGTATTTGTGTAAGGGTCTACGGTAATCTGCCTCCTAAGCTCACCACGACAATTGGCGTTTTCCAGGGTTGTCTTATAGCTCCTTTTCTCTCCAATTTTGTTTGCAAAATTATCATGAATGCCTCGATTTTTTCAGACTCTACCGGTATGGAGGTTCTGCCAGATGACCGACTGACAAATCTGGAGTATGCATACGACATAGTTCTCCTTGAGTCTGACTCATTCGCTATGTAAACACTACTGCACGTTTCGGCATGTACTTTGCACCTTCAAAGTGCAAAGTGCTGTTGCAGGACTGGGTCGACACACCTCCGATTTTAGCTATTTCCGAACTACCATTGGAAGTGGTGAATCGGTTCACTTACCTTAGAAGCTATGTCACCTCTGGTGGTCACATCACTGAGAAAGTTACCTCTCGTATCAGCAAGGCGGGTGTGGCCTTCTAGAGGCCCAACCATCTATGGAGTCGGAGGGATATCAGCCTGTCGGTGAAAGGTAGGGTGTATAACGCTGCGATAAGGCTGGTGTTACCGTATGGATCAGAGACAAGGTCTGTTTGCAGTGAAGATATTAAGCGCTTGACCGTGTTTGACCACCGGTGCTTGCAAACTATTACGTCTGGTAGGAACACCGTGTGAGCAGCGCTGAGGTCCGTCGGTTTGTTTTCGGCAATTTGTCTTCTGGTGATTTGTGGGGTATTGGAGCACCCGCCATGTCTCTTGGATTGCGACACGCAATCTCAATTGTGGCGTCGGGCGACTTTGAAGTCAACCTCTGCCAATACGATCGCTGGGATCGTCACCGAAGTGGTGGGTTTCGGTGTTGCTCTGTCCCATCCCTGCAATCCACAGCCGACTTCTGCGTCGTACTTTGGACTCATCAGGTAGACATAGCCGAGCTGGGAGTGGCGCTCGGCGCATAGTGCCTCACTCGAGTGTTTGCTGAATCGCTTA